TGTGTGCAATCAATGTCTCTATCGATGTCTTAATTGATTTTCTTATCGTAAGTAAATTCAGGAAATTAGTCCAATATTTAAAAAGTGTTTCCAAAACAGGGGATTCTAATACTGATTCTAATACTGACTCGTGAGAGCAGACCGTATTAATTAGGCATAACTGTCTAACATATTTGTTGACACCTTTATTCAACACATGATTTAATGAAATACAATACTGTTAACATCCATCTGTACTCTCCATTTGGATTAAATGTCGAAATATTTAACTATCAGTCGAAATATATTATAACTTGTAAATCGTATGATATGTTTGAGTGATATGTAGTCAAATGTGGTAAATACTCGATTCCCGCAATACATCGAAATAACAAGAGTTGCTTAAATATTTCGTGAGAATTTGCTTTAATATAAATGTAATTAATTTATAGTTTGGTATGTTTTAAATATGTATTTAATATGATATTTGAAATTAACTAAAAAATTACATTTTGTTACAATTAATACAAATACTCTTTAGTTGAAAAAAAAATTAATTTAATTTTCGATTAAATACTTATTTATTGAACACATAATAAAGAATTGATTCAAATTCTTGATTATTAATACATTTATAGTTATAGTTAAGGAAAATCATAGATTTTTTAATATTATGTGTCATTTGTATGGTATTTATAATTAAGAAAAATATAATTTTCACAAATTTTCAACCACTCATTAAATCAGATAAAATTAACTCAAAAAATAAAACTTTTTGATTACTTTCACAGTATTTCCATAAATAATAACTATTTATAGAAAAGAAAATATTAACAAAAAAACAAGAAAATTTTGAGATTATATTATAAAAACAATTTATTTTTTGTTTAGTTAATGCGAGAGATAAGTTAACACGATTTAAATAAGCGTATATATTATATAAAAATATGAGATTGGTGATTTTAGAACAGATTGTCAAACACTAAAATGCCATTTCTATGAGTATATTGAATATAACATGCATTCAATGGATGGCAAATGTGTGGCTGTAATGAGTGAATGGTCCCCAAGAGTTGCGATCAATATTATTGATCGTGAGTACAGTATTCACAACATTAGGGGTTATTTAAGGCATACTTGACTACAGTATTATGAAATGCATTCACCATTAGGTATGGGAACCGATTGAGTGATGCAAACATCTAATGATCTCATTATTACGTTATTATGCTTTAAATGATTAGTTGTTATAATTGTTGACTCAATTGTTGTGAAGTAATAGTCGTTGTGTTTGTGAGCCATGTATTGGAGAGGAGGTGTGAGTTGTGGTCCGATTGCGGCCACAATCGCGTCGACCGACCGATCGTTTAAGTAAGACATGAATACATGAATCGCTTTATCACTTGATTTACATAATTATTGCAATCATTACTTAATAGACGTCTCAATCGATGTCATAATTATAGCCCGATATCTAAATGTCTGGCATTTTGTTAATCATATCTAACGATATATTAATTTAAATGCCTGTTAATAGAGTTAATGCATTTAATAGCCTTTTTAACGCTACTATAATTAGAAATATATTGAATTTGATTTAATTTTATGGCATTTATTAATATATTTTGCATCAAATGATGTGTAAAAAGAGTTATCCGATAGAAAAACATGTGAATTATTGGTTAAGATTTGAAATATACTTGTATTGCAATACACACTACGGCTGGACTTTGTGTGTGTTTTTATCGGTATTTAATTTCAATTTATGTTAATTCAAATCATAATTAATATTGTCCTTCAATTGAGGTATTAATTATTTATGAGATTGTTTTACTCTCTTTACGTCAATTATAGTAATCACAAATTGAATACATATTATATTTACTGACACTTCCTTTAAATTTAATTAAATGTCTAAAACTGTCGGTTAGTTTATAATTAATTTTTTAAATATCATTAGTTGTGTGAATGCATTGAGAGTTAGTGTTTGTGTGTATTCCCAGTGCTCTCTAAATGCAATTCATAACTGGTTTTTTTGGCTAAGTTTTTGACTTATATTTTTTAAAGTAAATCTCGCAAAAAAAGTTGATTGAATTTGTATTCATATTATATAATCATTAGGGACTCAATCGGAAGGATGTCTCGCCTGTTCTATACCTACGGGAAGGTATGCGCGTCTCATCCGTGCGAAGTGATGGTCGCCTTTTTCTCACTGCTCTTCATATCGATGTTTTCGATGGGCTCTCAAGTCCTCCACAACCAACCGAATACATACTCTTCCGGTCATTGCCTTAAGAACAGCGAATGCTTTGAGGTATACATTGGAAAGCAATGGCTAAAGAATATTGTATTTTAACGAACAATATATNTCAGTATTAGAATCAGTATTAGAATCCCCTGTTTTGGAAACACTTTTTAAATATTGGACTAATTTCCTGAATTTACTTACGATAAGAAAATCAATTAAGACATCGATAGAGACATTGATTGCACACAATTTTAAAGTTAGAAATAAATCGTTACTTACATTAGAAAAGTGATAAAAACAAAACAAATTAATAAAATGTTAAATATTACTATTGTAATTACTTTAGAAACTTAGTAAATAAAATGTCATATTTTGGAATAAAGCACCATAATAGGAAGTGTATCTAGATAACATGTATAATAATTATAAAGCACCTTTATATAATAAAACACCTTTTGTATAAAACACTTTGAAACTTATAGTTTTGTATTGACTGTGATATGTTTACCATTATTATAACTTATGCATATCACAATTAACTTGTATGACACTTTATTGTCATAATGCCTTAAAGTTAACTTATTATTTATTTTATTATCTAACTTTCCAAATATCTGTCGAACAATAATGTGTGGAAAAGATTTAATCTAAATTTGAAAGCTTATTAAATCAAATATATTTATAATTTAAATGCTATCTAAATATCAAAAATGGGTAATAATAAGCTTTTAAAGGAATTTGAATGCATGCAAGCATTTAACGAAATAAATACATTTAATTTTTATCTCAGGCCATCGATTACTTAGTCAAGTAAGTCCTTATGTGAGGCCCCCTATCGACCCCCCGGTCGTACACTGTTTAGATGGCACGACAGTTATACCCACACCCCTCCTCTCTATCATGTTTACGGATTTAATTTATGTAATAATATATATAACATTTTATTTTACTTTAAATAATTTAAATGAATAAGCATTCGGGTGTAGAGTATTGTCAGAAAAAATATGAATTTATTCACACAATTGTTACCAAGAAATCGCAATACCGTTATTCAAATGGTATGTTATCTGATGTGCAAACGTTTAGAAGAATAAAAATGAGTCGAAATTATAATGAAATGTTTGAAAGATTGTAACGAAAAAATATGTTTCAAAGTTATTGATTCGATAACTCAATGAAATCAATAGAAAGAAGATTATAGCAACAGGTTTTGGTATAAGTAATCAACATAAAATATAAGTAATATCTTTAATAATATTAATAATAAATGTAAAGTAATTGTTCCAAAAGTACTTTTAAGTTTATTATTGTTTGTCGGGTGGACAATCTGTGTATTGTGAAACGTATATATAAAATATGAATAAAATTACCAAGCTGAAGTGATATTTTTGCTATTTTTTCATCCAGAGTCTGGACTCCAGACTATTTTCATGAAAATTTATGAATATGCAATTAACATGTAACATGTTTACCACAAAACGTTTATAACTCTTCAACATTTATAATAATAAATACTAAATTCATATAAATTAGTAAAAAATATTTCATATTGTATATAGTGTTATAATTATTCAAATTATAGCACTATTTTACTCACATTTAAAATACCTTAATTCCCCAAAGATAAGCCGATCCATGTATAATCCGGAACATAAAATATTGAAAGTAAAATGTTACTATTAAAAATTCGCTAACTATGTTTGCAAACCTCTTTCAAAGCACAAAATATGCAACACTTTTATAGTTTTAATACCTTTTGTTTTAATCATTGCAATAGTTGCTATAATTTCATTAATATTTAACATAATAAATTCTGACTCATATTTATATTGTAAGATATTATCTAGTGTATGTTTATTGATATTTATCTTAAAATTTAAATGAATAATTTTTTATTCCATAAAATTTTATCCATATGTACTGTACAATATGATGCAATGACATTCATCATATGGTGCGGTATATCTTTGGGGAATTTGGGTATTTTATCATAATTTTTATAGATTATCAAATTTTAATATTTATTATTATTGTTAATAAATAATATGCTCTGTTTAATTTTTGATTTAATAGTAATGCAAACATAAATTAATATTGATATACCAACTATTAATACTTAATAAATGATGTTTACTTTATCAATCATAATTTATGACTCATAATCTAATTTGTCTTTTAAAAAGTTATTTTATATTTAGTGATGCTTTGATTATTCTGTAGGAGTTTTACACATTATTCTATAGCAGAGTATATTAACTGCTGTTTATAGAAAAGTTAGTTCAAATTGTAATTGTACTGTACTTTTCAATACTATTTAATATGAAGTAATATTTAAACAGATTTCCTTGTTTTCATCAAATTAAAGATTTATTGCAAATAAATAATAAAGTTATTTAAAAATAGTTTATAA